CCCCCCCCCGGCCCCCTCCCCCCTCTCTCTGCCCAGCGTAGGAGACAGTGAGCCGGAGAGAAGCAGCCGTCTGCTGGATCACATGCCCCATGGCCACCCTCCCTCCAGGAGCGAATCTTTTTTCATTGAGGTTATTCTTTTGAGAACATCCCATAATAATAATAAAAATAATAATAATAATAATAATAACAAGCACAGTTCTGTAGCACAATTACTCTGCAGTTTATCGCATTTTAAAAGATTACTGTAGTTATTGAAGGTCACCATAAAATTCTCACTTTCCAGTGTTTCAGTCTTATTTCCATGCGAGTGGGTGTCTGTGGTTTCTTAAATCTTGGGGGATTCATTCTTATAATATGACAGCATCTTGTAAGCCAGGCCTGGGCAGTTATTTTCTGGGCTTTACCATGTGAAAAAGGCCCGTTTTTTAATTATTGCTCCATGAAAGCAAGGATGTTTGTTTGGGTATGGATGGTAGGAACATGTCCTTACCGATATTGTGTCTGTTTGGGTATGGATGGTAGGAACATGTCCTTACCGATATTGTGTCTGTTTGGGTATGGATGGTAGGAACATGTCCTTACCCATATTGTGGGAGTAGAATGTGTGCTTAGGGGGCTGAGGGCCTTTTGGCTGATTGGGTCACTGCCAGTATGGAAACCTACAGCTTAGTGTGAAAGCTACAATAATGCACTTGTTAGCACTTCCCCCTTTTTGAAAATACATGTATGTGGGTATGTGGGGATCCTCAGCTATAACAATCTACGGGGGCTTGGAAAGGATTTTTTAAAAATATGGTGGCTGAACTCTCTCTATCCTGGGTCTAGAATCTTTGCAATCAGAACATTTCCCATATTTAGCGTATATATTTATCATTAACTTACAAAAGAATTGTGGGCAAAAATCTATTCATAGTCATAGACATGAAATGACAACTTTTTTCATTTTTAAAACTATTTTAATGATCATGAGGTCAGTAAAATGCCCCCCTATGCTTTGCCCCCCCAGTCTGTTACCCACACACTTACTTAAGCGTTTCCTCTTCAGTATTTACCACTAGTGGGCAGTGTTGCGTAACATATTGTTCAAACGCCGCACGCAACATGCTCCTGCCTGTAGAGACACCCACCGGCAAATTCGCATCTTCAAATGCAAAAACTGTGAGTGGCACCGAACTAATGCGACGTGCGATGGAAGTTCCTGCTGTGCAGAGCGCCAGGTGATGCATCCTAACGCTCTCTGCTGGTTCAATGGTGCCGCAGTTCTCTGTCTCCATCTGTGGCTCTTGGCTTTATTAAAGGTGTCTTTTCCATAGCATGCTACATATCCACAAATGCTTGAAACTGAGATGCTCTCCTAAGGTATATTTATCTTCATCTGGTTTGTTTCTTTGGTCCATAGTGCGCCTTGTCTCAGGGGAGGATTAAGTCAGGTTTGCCTGAGGTTTGGCTTTTTTTTTTGTTTTTTTGAAGGAAGATTGGCATCGGGACTAAAATACTCAGGGCTGCAGCCCCGAGGGATCAGTCCTATCGACGCCCCGCCTTGTGTTACATTATTTGTTCAATATCATTGAACAACAAGGTTTCATTATAAGTTGTTTCACATTTGCCACTGTATGTTTAAAAGTATTAAGCCAGTGCCGTCCATTCACGAATAAGAAATATACACCTAAGCTAACAAGCATCATAGCCTAGCCCACTTTAAGAATGCTTAGAACACTTACATTAACCTACAGTTGGGCAAAATCATTAACACAAACCCTATTTTATAATTAAATTGTTGAATATCTCATGCAATTTATTGCATAATGTACTGAAAGTGAAAAACATTTGCCTATCATAAAGTTGAAACATCGTAACACAAACCACAGTGGCAGTACTCAGGGTCTAGAGATGGTCGTCTCACTAATGGCTCATCCAGTGTTAAATATGCGATGATGAACAGCAGTGTAAGAAATAACATGGAAATGTCCTCTTGGGAGTTTTTAGCAACCAAACAAATCACACATCCAAAATCTGAAAAGTTCTGTGCCAAACACAATTTTCAGGTTGTTTGCAACTGTTTGTCTTGTACAGTGTGTCTGATTTTATGCAAGTGTAATAAAATAAATGTCTTAAAACCAGGTAAAGAATTTGAACCACTATTTATCCTGTAGTAAGGGCATTGTACAGTACTAGGTTTGTTTGTACAGTATCTACTGTACATTACATAACACCATATGACCTCTGGTTTGCAGACAACAGCAAACAATGATAAAACCACTGTCTGACGTTATTATGCATGTTGGGAAAAAAAAGTCAAACAGGAAGTAAAGCTGTAAATATTTCTCTATTTGCAAATCAAAATGGGTAAAAAGACGGACTGTTTAGGCAGTGAGAAAGTGAAAATTGTGCAGTTATTAGATAATGGTAAAACACTGGAAATTTCAAAGACATTGCACAGATACCACTGAACTGTGAGAAAACGCAGTGAATGGTGTGAACAAAGAGAGGATACAAACCAAAGGAAAGAAACAAACATTGACACCCAAGACAGATGTAAACTGAAACAGGTTCTCATTAAATATCTCTTACTGAGTAGTTCAGACGTTCAGTAAGACAAGTGTGCGGAATTCTTAAAACACTAGGTGAAGTAAGGAAGACTATCAGTAGATCACCCCTCGATAAATTATACCTTCAGAAACATTTAAAGTGGCCCAGAGTGAACTCAAAAAGTGACTTTAGTAAAGTGCTTTTTTTCGAGGGTGACACTGGCCGGTGGGTCTGGGGTGATGGGGAATCTTGTGAGACGACAATGGGGAGGTGGTGGGATTATGA